TACATGTAGTCTCTCTGTACTGCTTCTAAGACAGGAGAAGAGAGGACATTATGAAATGGGCCTGGTACCAAAGGGCAGCCAGATAAGATCCTAAGTCTGAATTCCATAAATGAATACAGTTGAAGAGAAATTCAATGGTTGATTGGTTTTTCATTTCCTTTGTGTGATGGCAACTAGAACTTCACAATTCCTTAGTCACTTGGGTTGAGATCTGCATCCCCTCTTGGCCATCCTTGATCTCCTGACTTCTGGCATACATTAATCTTTTCCCATACAATGCATGCATTAGGAGAACATAAGTACACACACACACACACACACACACCCCTATACCTTATAGAGTCCTTGAGAGGTGGAAAAGAAGCAGACATGGGGAGGAACATGTGATATGCATGCAATATTAGTGTTGTTGCTTTTCTTTACAGGTGTTGTTATCTTAGTCTATGTAGGGCCACTTTCTGCTAAGTAACAGCCTTTCTGCAGCTGGCATGTGTTTTGGCTTAACAGCTTTCTTCAGTAGACCACTGAAAAAAATATTACCTATTAAGCTTTAGCATATTTAATTCCAGTAAACTATGATGAGAAAATGGACTTTGAGTACTTTTTCTCTCCAGTTCCTACTGTGTAGCTGTATTTAGATCTTGGTACCATCATCACACAAGGGAGCAAGGACAAGATTTGCCCTTTTATACAATATTCTTACATTCTTTTCCATTTAAAACTACCCCACATGTTGAGGCTCTGTTCCTCCATTTTCAAAGTAAAGGGCCTATGTGTGAACTAGACAAGGCAGCCATATGTGCATGGCTTCTGCTGCGTATCTGCTGTAAAGGTGGAAAGAAATAGAAGGACCACAGTTCAAAGTCTCCCCTGGGCAGGAAAGTCTATGAGACTCTCATCTCCACTAAACTACCAAAAAAAAAAAAATGCCAAAAGTAGAACTTTGGCTCTGGTGGTAGAGCAGAAAATCTCAGAGACAGAGCCCAGGCCCGAGTTCAAGCCCCAGGATCAGCACAAAGAAAAAAGAAATTAGGAATATGAGTCTTCCATGGACAGATCTGTCATGTCTTCTCTTGCAGCCAACAGAAAGGCCGGGTGTGCAGTCACATCTTTGCTAGCTTCGGAGCTGACCAAGGACGATGCCATGTCTTCTGTTCCTGCCAAGGTGCCCAAGAACAGTGAAGGAATCCCCACAATCCTTGAGGAAGCCAAGGAGCTGGTTGGCCGTGCAAGTTAAACTGGGCTCTGTGGCCATGGCAGTTCCTAAATGGATCCCGGACTGTGCACCTGAAGCATGTGCCTAAAGGGCCAAGGGGACATTCCTCTGAGGCGGCCATTCCTACCACCTGACCCTGCCTTTCTGCCTGGCCTGCTGCCCTCTGAACACCTACAGCTTCAGCTGCCTGGAGGCCAGAGGAAAAGGGCAGTGTGGGGAGGTCTGAGCCCAACCCAGCCAGCCCTGGCTGTCGTTACCAAAGCAGGGTCTGTGTGTGCTGCCTTAACCCTGTCTCCTCTCTGTTACCCAGAGGGCCTGGTCTCAGGCAAGGTCCAGCCTGCTTTTCTCAGCCCGACTTTATAGTGGGCATTCCCTTAGGTCAATCTTGCTGATTTTGTGCTTTTCTTTTGTGGTTTCTCTGGCCCTGAGAAACAGCATGGGGCTTGTGAACCTATGGGTAGATCCCTCGTCTTACTGCTATCACCTCGGCTCTTCTTCCTGGCTATTATTTATTACTAGTGCTGTGGCATTGGGAATTGCTTCTGAGGAAGCAGGGGAGCAAATCCCACCCTTAACCCCACCTTCTTGGGAAAAACCTCCTAAACAAGGCTCTGGACCACTTGTTCCACTGTGCCCCAGGCCTGAGCCCACAGGGCATAGTAACAGCATGGGGCCTGCCCCCAGCCTGCTGCTTGCTATGCTTTATGCCCTTGCTTCCCTGGACCCTCTGCACCAGCCCCCAGGCCACTGAGCCAAGGTCTCTTCTCACGCCTTCCCTAGAGAGCTTTGGTGCATCTCATTTGGAGATAGGCTATATAGTTCACCATCCCAGCACCTAACCCTCTGTCTCCAAGGATATGGGAGGTGGAGCCTCCTGGCTGAGAAATTGTTTTGCATATGGATCTATTTTTGTATGAAAAAAAAATTTTTTAAGATAACTTCCTTTTCCCTTCCCCTTCCATAATGTAAGAGGTTTTGATGTAGGTTCAGGAGTTCCTGAGGATTCTTCTTTGGCTTCCATCCTGAACATGCCCTAGACCTTGGCCTCAGCCCTTAAAACTTCTGAGGCCAAGGCAGATCACTCCCAGCACCACTTATGGGCCAAGATGAGTCTCCTCTGATTGGGCTAAGCCAGGTCCTCAGAATAGCAGGAGCTCTGGGGCCACAGTTTATGAATTTAATTATCAAGCCAAATGTGCAGAAGCTAACTAGACGCTGGGAAGTGAGAGAGGGTATCCTGCACACTGTACCCTTGCTCCCATCTGCATAGTGTGCAAACCAAACTGCTTGGTGGCCCAACCTCAGGATCAGGAAGCTCACATTCTCTGGCTAAGGGTGACAGTTTTGCCCTCATGCTCCTTGCAGCTTTCAAACCACAGCTACTGAGAGTGGCACTGTTTGGGTTTGGCCCAGAATTAGAGCTGTTAGCCCAGGGGGAGCTTAGGAGACCTGAGGGCACCTACAGAAGGGGCTTTGTGGCCAGCAAGGAAGGTTGGGTTGCTAAGCTTGTGTCTGAAGGGGCACTGGAAGCTCCTCTGAATGATTCCTGGAGAGACTATGGGACAGGAAGGCTGTCGCTCCCCTGGGTCACCTACTTCCCCTTGCTCGATGACATCTGGGGCTTTGGCCCTTTCTTTTTTAAATCTACTTTAGTAAGATGCATTTAATAATAAAAAAAAAAAGTAAGGGGACAAACGCAAACCTGTTCGCCTCACCTCTGGGGCTTCTGGGGTGCCATCACCTCTTGTCTGATGGGTTTGTTTCCAACAGTTAATAAAGCATTGAAACAGTGCCAGCTGCCTTCTTCACTCCAGTCTGGGTGCCTCTGATTCTTCTGTGTCACATCTCTGGTTTACCTGATAAACTAGGCAAAAACTAAAGCTATCAGACACTATACTTGGGCCCAGGGCCCAGGTCAATATATTATTCCATGGTGTTTCTGAATGGCAGATCTTGCCTCAGGATCATTTTCTCTCATTAATGAAATAAGGTAATCAGTCCAGGTTCATGGCTCTTCAACAGTTCTACCTCTTGGCTTAGAGCCCTTTAATTCTTAAATCTCCTCACTTCTCCACATCCCCAGATGTCCTCGTTTACTTATGGTTACCTGTGCCTCCTGTGCAAAGCAGAGCATCTGATTCCCATTCCCATGCTTGGCAGTTCAGGAACCTCTGACCACATTCTAGGCTAGAGGGCATTAAGGCTAGGGCTGGAAAGCTGGGCTCATCTTGCAGAGGTCAGAGCAGGAGGTCGAACTCCAGATGACTTGCCACTATGGACCATGCAAACCTTACAGCAATAAGCACGTCTAGTATGGACAGGGAGGGACCTGGAGAGGACTGCAAACCCACTTGTGCAGCCTCTAAAAAGCCCTTTAAATAGTCCCAATGCCGGCTGGGGCAGCTGCCTCCCCGTTATAGCCAGAGGTGTGGGGGTGGCTGCCTGCCTCCACCCTTCCTCTCCCAGGCCCTGGGTTTCTGGCTCAGACATTTACAGGCACACATACCAATTAGGGGACCAACCACTGCTGCTCATGAGCTCTCCCCGTCTGCTGCTACGCCTGGAATAGAACCCAGGCGCCCGGCACCCCGCCCCTTTGCACGCCCCTTTGCACCCCAGCAGAGAAACAAAACTCTGCTCCCATCTCAGCTTGCAAGCCACCCTTCCTCCCAAGCAAGAAAGTCGCCTCCAGATGCTCGGTTGGAAGGCTTGGTTTCCATGACAACAGACCTGAGGCGGCAGAACCTGCCTCAGAGAATCCTAATGGAGAAAAGCCCAGAGACCGCCTCCCCCTGCTCTGGACTTGGGCAAACCTTCGCTGACCCTCCTAATAACCCCAAAGCGTTTCTGCCCGTCTCTTCCTGATCCTCCTTCCCCTTTTTCGGCGTTTTCAAGGGACTGCAGCAACCTAGCAAATCGATGTGCTCTGAGGGGTGGGGGATGGGACAGCGGGGGGGGGGCGAATGGAGAAGCACCCCAGAGGTGGGAGGATGGGGCGAGCTGGGTCTGTCATTTCTTCCTGCACGTCCTTTCAGTCCTCTTTACCCCCTCCAGAAAGGGATGCCCTCCTAGAGCCATGAACAGAAATTCAAATTCCAAATAGGGAACCTGAGACCCAGGCTGTGGACTCAGCCTGGAGAGAGAATCGCCTCCGCTTTCCCCCCTGCATTCATTCCCTCCCACGTTGCGGTGTTCCCCCAAGCCTCTAGGCAGTGGGGGGCGGGTTGAGGGTGTGTGGATGGAGGCGGAAGAGAGAATCCATCTTCCTAAGCCCTAGCCAGTGCGCGCTGAGGGGGCGGGGTGGTAATGTTAGTGGAAAGGGACATGCGCTAAGGAAGCGTACCCTGCGTCCTCAGCGCTGCTGGCCCAGCGCCGACCAGCCCCCACCCCCACCGCCGCCCCGCCCGCACAGGGGCTCCTCTTCTGCCCGGAGACTGCTGCCTAACGCAGACAGCCGCAAGCGTATTACTGCGCACTCAATTGCACACGGACACGCGGCAGTCAAGCTCCCCGCCCCACGACGGGCGCGCCAGCCCATCACACGCCGCATTCAGGTGCACAAGCACTCTTCCAGCCCATCGCACAGTTACAGATGCACAAAGGTGTAGGAAGCACGCACAGCCATATTGGATAGCCGTAGACACGGCGACATTCTCTGTCACCCCCACACACACACTCAATGACACAAAACCAAGACTCAAACTGTCATCTTCCCAAACCTGTTTTTTTTCCTACACAAATGCCAGGGACTCCATTTCTCCAACAGAAACAACCAGCCTTTCAGAAGAAATCTTTTTATTATTTTTTTTTCGAAGAAAAAAGCCATATAAATATTAGAGTATAAAACTTGCGTGAGATACAGGAAGGGACTGGGGGTGGGAGCTACGTGACTATGCAAAGAGAAGCGCTTATAGAAGAGTCAGTACCAGGGAGGGGGGTCGCCGCAGCGCGTGGACACAGCACAAAACACAGCACGGGCCGCCGCAGGCAGATTCAAGGACAGACGGCTGCGCCAGCCTGCCGCCCGCTGCCCACTCGCCATCACGTAAAAGCACACCGCACTACACTATCGGCTATTCTACACCAGCCGGGGGAGGGGGCTCTACACTATACTGTAAGGGCTGGGATAGGGTTCTCTAGAGGCCCCGCTGGATGAGCGGGACCACAGGGGCAGAAGGGAGTGGGGAGGGGAAAGTCTATACACAAGGAGGCACTGGGGGACTTTAACCAGGCTCTGGCCACTAGGGGGCGGAGGAGGGCCCTGGGCAGTGGCCTTCACCGAGAAGAAAGGGCACCTGGCAGGGAGAGTTTAAAAGAGGCTTGAAGAGGGCAAGGACCTTGCCTGGAGAAGCCCCATGATGGGCTGAGACTTTCGGTCCATTTGGTCCCTGCTCTAGCTCCTTTGGCCCCAATCTAGGGATCAAGAATGGCCTCCTTGGGCCTTCCTTCCCACTGGGGCTCCATGGACCCTTCCACTGGGGGGCACCTCTGGAGTACCCAGCACCCACAGAGGTTCCTCTGACCTCTCCAGAGGACCTGACCCTAAATCCACTCAGAGCTTCCTTGGACTGAAATGCCAGTTTAAATCCATTGGTCCCGGTAGCTCAGCCCCCAAAGCTGGCTGCCTAGGCTGAACCCAATATAGAAGATGGAGGATCCAGCCTAGTACGCGTTTATGGCTGGAATTTGAGGATTTGGCTAGTATTCGGGGACATACAGAGCCTTCTGCAAGCCCCTGGTAACCTTGGGCCAACCTTCATCCATCCCCCCCCAGCCATATACATACATACACTTCCCTTCTTTATCTTACCACCCCCTACTGTCTCAGAACATGCAATGTAGTCTTGTTAGAGGAGTGCTAGGGAAGTCACAGCATGCATTGGGAACATCGAACAATGAAAAACAGAAGACTGGTCCCCAGGGCATTGGGAAGAGGCTTGGTGGCAAAATGCCTTCCCTAAATCCAGCAAGTATCAGTACCATGGGGATGGTGACTGTATCCCCCAAAACTTGACCGTGAGTCTCTGCTCTAGAAGGAGGTGAAAGGGTTGGCAACAAACCCTGCTTTGGGGGAAAATTGAGAACTGAAGGAGAGGCTAGGAGGTCATGATGCTCTTCCAACTTCAGAACCATGAGCCTGTTTAGGTTACCTGGTACCTCAACACCCCCCAACCACCTTGTTCAAGGGAACTTTTAAGAGTAAGATGGGATGGGGAGGAGGGAGGCAGGGGACAAATGGCCTAATTGAGTTGGAAGATGGAGGAGTTCAGCTGAAACTAAAGGGCGTGTGACAAATGGTACTTGGTGTCCACACGTGCCCCCACAACCCCCACAGATACAGCAATTGATTGGATGGGGGTTCCCAGCAGAACTCCCCTTGCATATTCAACTCCCCCTGTGGGCAGAGAAAGGGGGGGTGTTGACTGGGCACTTGTTTCTGTTTCCCAAGGGGAGCATGGCCTTGGCCCCTACCAATATCCTGGGGGTGAGCCCTGGAATTCTGAGACCTGGGTACAGGTAAGGTGAAGCTGAGCTGGTTGGGGAGGGAGGCTGCCCTGTGGCTCTAGGCCTGGCCTCCACACTACTTCTTCTCCTTCTTGCCAGACTTCTTCTTGTTGCCATTGCCACCTGCTGGGGTTTTACCATCCCGCTTGCCAGCTGCATTGGTCAGTGTAGCATTGCTGCCTGGGATGTAGACATTCTGGCGGTAGTCAGGCACATGCTGCAGGGTGAACTGGGGTCCATAGCGAGCACTCAAGCCCATAGTGCCAGCACCCCCTCCCAGGGTGGAGCTTCCATCAGCAGCCTCTGCAAAGACAAAGAAAGGATCAGCAAGTACAGTGATAAAACCTAGGTTTGATTTCTAGGGGTGTTTTGTTTTTATTTTGTGAATTCAGGCTCTTAACCTTGCTTGGTTTGCTTGTTCAACTACCACTCTATCACTTGAACCATGCTTCTAGCCTAGCTTTTTGCTAGTTGTTTTGGAGATGGAACCTCACAGACTTTTCTGTCTGGGCTGGCTTCGCATTATGATCCTCTAGATGGTTTCTTCCTGAGTAGCTAGGATTGCAGGCATGAGCTACCAAGGCCTGGCTTCTAGCTCTTTTTCTTATTGTGATCCTATAGAAGTTTATCTAACCACCTTAGTATTATGATCTGCAAAAGGGAGGCAAGAAAGCATATCCATGGCTTTTGTGAAAACTAAACAAGAAATTCTATGTAAATTACCTAAATAGCACCTGGTGAAGGGTAAGTGCTCATAACCTGCTAGCTAGTAGCTCTCTCTCAGGGTGGACCCCAGGCCCTAAACTTTTGCCCTCACTTTTCGTGTAGGAGACTCTAGCTTCCATACTAGGCAGTGGTTATCTAATCTTATCTTTCCCTGACCAGTGCTTGTGATATAACCATAGTTCTGGTGTGTGTGCATGTGTGTGTGTGTGTGTGTGTGTGTGTGTGTGCTTACAGGCTTTCTTTTGTTTTTTTTTTTTTTTTTTTGGTCGGTCGTGGGGATTGAACTCAGCTTGGGTGCTGTCCTTGTACTCTTCAGCTGTAGGCGAGCCCTCTACTGCTTGAGCCACACTGCCACTTCCGGTTTTCTAGTGGTTTATTGGAGATAAGAGTTTCACGGAGGGCTGGGAATGTGGCTCAGTGGTAGAGTGCTTGCCTTGCATGCCTGAGGCCCTGGGTTCGATTCCTCAGCACCACATAAGCAAAAAGAAAAAAGCCAGAAGTGGCGCTGTGGCTCAAGTGGTAGAGCGCTAGCCTTGAGCTGAAGAGCTGAGGGACAGCGCCCAGGCCCAGAGTTCAGGCCCCATGACCGCCCACCCCAAAAAAAAAAGCGTTTCACGGACTTTCCTGCCGGGGCTGGCTTTGAACAGCAATCCTCAGCTCTCAGCCTCCTGAGTAGCTAGGATTACAGGCATGAGCCACCGGCACCTGGCTCTTTCTTTTGTTCTTTAAGATAGAGTCTTTGCAGCCCAAACTAGTCTGGAACTCATTATGTAGCCAGGGCTAGTAACCTCAAAGTTACAAACCTCATGCCTCTGTTTGTCAAGAGCTAGGATTACATTTCTGGTGTAATTTGACTATTACAATTCCTAGCTTCCTTCTGACCTGGGAATAGAAAGGGGAAGAGTTGAGATCCAGCATCAAAGTGCCACGATTCCTTGCCAGATGCCAGTGGCTCAACCCTATAATCCCAACTACTCAAGAAGCTGAGATCTGAGGATCTCAGTTTGAAGCTGGGCAGCAATGTCCATGACACTCATTGTTGGGACCCAATCTTAATGTTAGGACCCAGTGAGCCTATGTGACTCCACCCTGGTTAAACTCCATCTTGTTTACAAGTTTAGGAAAAATGTGGATTGCAAGTCTCTGGTAACAGAGCCTAAAGGCCAGGTGGATGCGTCATTAAGGAGCTCATATGTAACACCCCCCACCAAGGAATGCATCCCCCTCTCCCCACCCCTCCACCCCGGCCAAACCCACGCGCCAAAACTGACCAAAGTGGTAGGCTAGTTTAAACAACTGCTTAGAGATAAGTTGTAACCTCATTGGTCACCTGCATGTGGCCCAACATAACTGTAATTTTGTGCGAGTGTTGCAATGCTACTGGCCACCTGCGTTTGGCCAGCCTAAACTGCATGGCCTGTTCCCTATAAAAGTTAGCCCGTGCAGCTGGGATAGGTTCGCTCTCTGCCAAGGTGGCCCTGACCGGTCAGTCTGTTTCTAGATGCTTGGCATGAAATACAGTTTTGTCTGACTTTCGCTTTGTTTCAGTCTCGTTCCTTTGATCACAGACCCCAATATTGGGGGGCCACCCCAATACTCATCTCCAAGTAAGTACCAAAAAAAGCCAGAAGTGCAACTGTGGCCCACAATAGTAGAGCACTTGCCTTGAGAAAGGGGGGAGGGGGAGAACACCTAGGGACAGTACCCAGGCCATGAGTTCAAGCCCACACAACCAGCACACACAAAAGAAAAAAGAGAGAAACGAGCTGGGATTCAACAGTGATTTTGGCTCTCGAGGGAACATAGAAGGCCATACCAGACAGTATATGTTACAGCAGGACTCAGGCCTAGTAATATGCAAGTGTGTGCTGGAGGAAAGTCATTTCTGTCATTGCCAGCAGCGTGAACCTTACACCTTCTCCAAAGACAAAGGAGATAGAACAGAGGCCGAGAGGCAGTGTATTCTGTGAGACTAGGAAGACTACAATCCCAAGGACCAGACAGTTTAGGTACAGTGCAGATATAAGCTTGAGTGTCTGAGCCTGGTGACATTAGAGATCATTGTCAGTAACTTCCTACTACCATGCAGAGGAGTATATATCATAGCCCTAGCTTACTTGGGCCCTTCCACACTCCCTAATAGGGTTGCAACAGAACAAGGTTTCTGGGTGCTTTGTGTATATGGTCGATGTTGAAAGGCAGGGAAATGGATCACAGGTTCTGGGTGAAGATTAAAGGAGGCTGTGCTTCATCCAGTGTCTGGCATTTAGTAACTTCTCAATAAATGCTACCTGCTGCTGTCATAGCTGTCATCCTCCTCAGTGTAATGGCCTCCACTCTCCCTGGAAGTGCAGAGGTTGCTGGAAGAGACAGTTTGACTCTGTGCTCACTGCTAATTCCCTGTGCTCACCCTAATTCCTCCTCTGAGGCCCAGCAGAGTTAAAGCCCTAGGAAGGTACTGCCCAGGGAGCTCCTCCCAGCCTCCCCTGGCTCCCACCACAGACCTTGGGATCGAGTAGAGACTGACTAAAGCTGGAGAAGCTGAGTAATCCTGGGACACTAACCAGGGATTGAGAAATGGAAAGGCAGGAAATATTTTTGATGTTTGGGTAACAGAGAGAATGCAAGAAAGGGAGGGTAAGAGAAGGAAGTGCAGAGATACACTTCAGTCTTTTTCTATCAACACCCACAGCCTCCATTTTCAAATCCCCAAGCTGCGGAAGCTGAGAGCCTTCTGGAGGGGGTGGCGTATAGGAAGAGGGCCGGGGTGGGAGAGCGCAGCTGCCCACTTCCTCCACTCCCTCCCCTAGCCTTTGTATTCCTTGACTTTTCCTCGTTTTCCCTAATTAACTCCAGGAGGGAGCCAGTCCTCTCAAGCCAGCCCCTCCCCTCCAGCCGCCAGCCACTGGCAGCTTCCGCCGCCGCCTGAGAATGGGGAAGGGGGAAGGGCGGAGATCAGGCTTCAAAGAGCAAGGATTTCAGAGTGATTTAGGGGCTTCAGGAGAGGCCAAAGAGGCGCCAGAAAGTGTGAGACAGAGAAACTGGAGGAAGGACAGAGAGAGATAGAAACAGAGAAAGACAGAGACAAGAGACAGAGCTAGAAAGGTGTAGAAACAGAGAAGGGAGACAGAAAGGAAGTGTGGACCCAGTGGTCCATTCACATCCTACATGCACCCAAGATCTCTGAGAAGCATCCATAATAGGCAAAAAGGACAAAGCAACCCCATCATATGGGATTCCATGAAATTGGGATGGATCAAGATGGAGAGAAAAGTGGGGAATCCAGAGTATAACAGACTGACACTGTGTCTGATTAACCATGCCATTAGGAACTGTGTGCTCTAGGTCCAGACCCTGGATCACTCAAGCAATGCTTCTCAGCTTCCCCATCAGGAGGAAAGACATTGTTCTGCCACCTTTGGCCCTCTGGAAATGGGTTCTTCAGTAGCTCCTTCTCGTATGTCCTCCTTTCTTCCAAGACCTTATTCTAGGCAAAGCTTCTGGCTGGAAAAGGTGTGGGGATGCTGGCTTCCTATCCAGCTCCAGTTTACCACCTGTCCCCTGGCCAAGTTACCACCTGTCCCCTGGCCTCCCAACCTTCCCAGTCCAGGCTGAGGCAAAGCCAGGAAGGCCTCATGAAGCTGGCTCAGAGCTGGAGGAGCTGCAAACTGCAGCCTCCTTGGGAGCACAGCTCCCCTGAGTATTTTTTAAAGTCTCCTAAGGAAGTCTCCCTTTCCCCTCTGCAGCCAGCCAGGCCTGGTTGGGCTCCACTCCAGGAGCCTAGGAAGTAGGTGTGAAACTGAGGGCAGGCCCTGACCCCACCACATCCACCCCAAGCCCATTCCCCAGGGCCCAGGCTCTGCCTTGGGTCAGGCCCAGGGTAGGCTGGAGGGAGGGTGGAGTCTGACAGGGGAGCCTGTTGCCTTGGCTCAGCTCTAGTGAGACCTTCCCGGAAGGTTTTGAGCCATAAATACAGCTTCCATTTAAGTTTTTAACATCTGGATTTAGGCTAAAAAGCCTGTTTTCTGGCCTTAGAGACAGAAAAAGGCCTCAAGGCCACAAAAGCTAAATAGCCCTGTTTACTTCCCTCAAGAGCCAGAGTTGGCATCTCCCCAGACCCAGCCTCCTGTCTCTTTCATACTGAGTATCTGGCCTCTCAAAGGGCCACAGGCCCCACCAGACCTGGGAGAGCTCTGCCCCAGAGGCTGACAGCCCTTGCCACCTGTCCCTTCTGTGGTCTCTGTCCCTGTTCTCTGGTCATCCATAGCCCTGACCCCATTTACCCTCACAGACATCTAGGGCAGAGTTGCCAGAAAAATGGCATATAGAAACTTAGGGCATTTAATTATACTTGCATTCAGGTTAACAACGAGTCATTTTTGAATAGTCTGTCTCATCTGACATTTTGAAATGTACTTATGATAATACAGCACTTATTTATCTGAAATTCACTGGGCATCCTATATTTTATCTGGCAACCCTAATCTGGAAGAAGAATGTAAATCATTAGGTCAGCCTCTAGATCAAGTAAGCTGAGAGGGGGGGAAATTGAGGCTGGATCTAAAGGCAGAGATTCCTTGTAGTAGAAAGGGTGTGAACTTGGGCATAGAGTCGGGTTAGAGTGGCAGCTGGACAGTTCAGAACTTTGGGCCTTGAGGAAAGTGACATCTCACGTTCCCCCTCTTTCAAGTGTAAATAATCAGACCTGGCTTGCAAACTGTGGAGATGTGAAAGTCTGTTTAGCATGTGCCCTGCATGGTTACAGTGCTATTTCTCTGGGTCCTCTACGCATTCATCCTCCAGGTTGGCTGCAGCGCATGGCTCTCAGTGCCTTAACCTTAACCAGCCTCCCTGCAAAGCTCATATTTGCTGTTCCACTAGTCCTTATTAATAGGCATTATTTTAAATCTGACCTTTAGCTCTGTAGGTCAATGAAGATAATGAGTAGTTTGTTACAACCACCATGTAGTGTGCATTTATTCTCTGTCACCTTGCTGAGGGCTGGATATGATGCCCTCACATTACCATGAGATCTATTCTTTTTTTTTTTTTTTTGGTCGGTCGTGGG